AGTAACATAGCCATTCAAATGCAACGAACGTTTCGAAAGTTTAAATCTCATATTACAATTGTACATTATATACTATGTATACAAATTGTTCTTCCAATTTCAAATACGTAAACGTCATATGCAATATTTTTATTAGATACTTATTTATTTTAACATTTTATCGAAATCGAAATTCGAGTAACAATAAAATTCATTTCCAAGATTATTTTGATGATGAGGTATAAAATTACAAATTTTAACATCCATTAGCTTTCCTGCTAATTCTGCCATAACAGCACCTGGTAACAAAAAGTAGTAAATTAATTTTAAATAAGAAATAAGAAATAATCACTTACCTGTACAAAGAACAATATTCTTTTTTGCCAGGAATTTGATTGTAAGTGCAGTTTTTGTTAAACATTCGTCAGAAAGAAATGGTGGATCAGCTATGACCAAGTCATAATAACCTGCCATATTTCTTGTTAAATCCAAAGGAAATTTATAATTATATGGTACATAGTCAGAACCAAATATTTTGAAGCGTTCGTCATACTCAAAAAGTGTTACTGTTAACAAAGAATTTGCTAAACATTTATTAAAAGTCATATCATGTAAGTCAAAGATTTATTCCTAATAAATTTATACCTTGTCGTAAGCCACAGTTTTTTTTTAATTTATTGTAAAGTGTAGGACATGAAATTAAAGCAATCTTTCCAGTAGAATCTGTAGAATTTATAGCACCTTTGACAAGAGTATCTGTAGTATACTCGTCATACCAAAACTGACTCAATTGCTATCAATATTGAAAATTCAGAGATTATACAGATCATATTAATATATATATATATATATATATCTTCTAATATAGCTAATATAACATAGTTATTGAGATATAATAAAAGTTAACTTACCCAGTTTTCATCGAAACAAATATCTAGACTTTGATTTTCTGAAATGCATTTTAATTCATTTTCCCTTTCTTCCTTTTCTTTAAGAAATTCATTTAAAGCAGCAAGTGTTGTGGGACACAATTGTAAATCATCATCGTCACTGTTGCTCATTTTTCGTACGATTTTGCTACACGCATATATCTTATTAATAAAAAAATACTAAATTTTATCGATATGATCGATTGAACAAATCGTTTATATATTACATTTGAATCGACCAATTACTTCTATAATACCTGCAATAATATTATACATATGCATAAATTGTATTTAGACAAATTTGTTGATTTCATGACAGCATAATTAATTTAAATTGTATGTTTTTTCAAATAAAATTCGTATATACATATAATGAATCGAGGAACAAGACGAAATGAGTAATTTTTTCAGATATTCTTATTGTATGCCGAATGTCTTAATTATCTTTTTTTTTACGCACCAAACACATTCATTAAATATTTATAATTACGATTGTAATTTTACAGTAAATTAGCTGTTTACTATTATACAGTTTTAATTATGTTATATTATGTGTGTATGGAATAGTATTGAACAATAAAATTCCTATATATGTAGAATCCAAAATGTAGAAATTGACCTTTCACAACGAAGATTATAATATACAGATTTATTACATATTACACATCTCTCCTTTTCCCATGGCCACATAACCCTAATATGTACATATTGTCCAATATTGGTCTTAGGTTATCGAATTGCATCATATCAATGCAAGAATTGATTTGCCGGTTCGAAATCAAAAACAACTTTTAACTCATTCTTGAAGAGAAGAATAGAAATATGACGGAGAATATGACAAAAATAGAAGATGATATACAATTGTTCCAACTAATTGGATTGAGTGAACAAAAGGCTAAAGAAACTTTAAAAAATAAACAAGTATCTAATAATTTGAAACATGCAATAAGACAGGTTAGTTAATTATTTAATACTTAAGAATACATAGACTTATAGTAACATTGAATTCATTATCGTTCATTATCATTTATAAATCTTCCATTTACTTAAATTTATTATGAATATATATTTTTATTGAATTTAAAAAGTACTATTTCTATTATCGAGTTATTGCCACATTTGGTTTTACCATATGTAATCAATAAATATGGAATTTGTAGGCCTCTCACTATGGAACGATTACTCCAGAAATTGGAGTTTTATTGTACCATCTTGCTTCAAAAATAAAGAATCAAATTTTTTGTGAAATACCATTTGTGGTTAAATACATATTTGAGAATAAGTTAGATACAATACAGAGGGTCGATGCAGCATTGGGTTATCTACTTCATCATGTAGGAGAAGTACATAACATTTCAAATTTTGAAGAAGAATGTGGTATAGGGATTGTAGTTACCCCAGAAGAAATTGAAACTGAAGTAGAAAAAGTTATAGAGGAACATAAGTCAGAAATATTGGACAAGAGGTTTTCTTAATTACTTTATAATATTAAATCTAATTCTAGTTAACATTTTAAGATACAAAACTGTATGTATTTACAGATATCGTTTTAATATTGGTCCATTAATGCAGCATGTTCGTAATAATTTAAAGTGGGCAGATGGAAAAGCAATTAAGAATGAATTTGATGTTCAGATTCTCGTACTACTAGGACCTAAAGTTGATCTTGATTTTGCTCCACCTCCTAAAACAGTAAAACAAGTTAATACAAAAAAAACGGAGAAGGAGAAAGGTAAGTTGCAAAGTTATAATTAACTTTTAATAGCTGTAATGGATTCTTATGCATCCAAATTTTCTTTCTTCATATTATAAACAAAATTTTATTTACAATACATATAATTAAATTATCATTGATTTAAGTAATTTGTTATAGTCTAGTAGTTAAGATTTTAATAAAAAAGAATTAGACTGCATATACAATGTTTGAAAAGCAAATTACTTAATATTTTTTTTTATTCAGCAGAACTGAAAAGTGTGGTGGCATCGAGTAAAAATATAGGTGCTCAAACAATAAGTGAATTAATGAAAACTAAAGTTCATTTCCATAAACCAGGAGAAAATTATAAAACTGAAGGATATCCTGTACTTCCAAACACGCATAAGTTGCTGCAAGAGCACTTGGAAATAACAGGTGGTAAAGTAAGAACTAGGTTCCCACCAGAACCTAATGGAATTTTACATATCGGGCATGCAAAGGCAATCAATATTAACTTTGGGTATATTTTATTTTTCAATGTTTCTTATGCTCCATTTTTTTTTTTTACTGTTTCCAGTAGAGACATTGTTTTTATTGTAGATATGCTGCAGCTCATGATGGCATATGTTTCTTACGTTATGATGATACAAATCCGGAAAAGGAAGAAGAAAAGTTTTTTCTTGGTATTCAGGAAATGGTAGAATGGCTTGGATATAAACCAGCAAAGATTACACATTCTTCTGACAATTTTCAACAGTTATACGAATGGGCTATTAAACTTATAAAGGGAGGTTTTGCATATGTATGTCATCAATCTAGTGAGGAAATAAGAGGTTTCAATCCTCCTCCAAGTCCATGGCGGAACAGACCAATTTCAGAAAGCCTTCAACTCTTTCAAGTAATTACATTTTCCATAGATAAATAAAGGATCTCAACAATTTGTATACATAGTTCTAGAAGTTATATAAATTAATAATATACAGTAGGGACTCCCTTATTCAAACATTTATTTTTAGAATATTCTGGTAACCAAGCGTACTATTATCTAAGCATTGTATTATTTAGATACGTCTACACCTAATAGAGAAATTGAATTTGATAATAGAATGTTTTGGTATTAGGATATTACAAAAATAAACCTTCGGTTAAGGGTGTCTCTACTGTACCAGTTGGAATCTTATTATTTTTCATGTAGGATATGAAAGATGGCTTACTTGAAGAAGGTGAAGCCACATTACGTATGAAAGTAACATTAGAAGAAGGAAAACAAGATCCAGTTGCATATAGAATAAAATACATACCTCATCATAAAACAGGAGATCAGTGGTGTATTTATCCTACTTATGATTTCACCCATTGCTTGTGCGACAGTATAGAACATATCACGCATTCTCTCTGTACAAAAGAATTTCAATCACGAAGATCATCGTATTATTGGCTTTGCAATGCTCTGGATATTTATTGTCCCGTACAATGGGAATACAGTAGGTTAAACGTGAGCTATACGGTCGTTTCTAAGAGAAAAATTGCCAAATTAATTGAAGAAGGTTTCGTGTCTGACTGGGACGATCCTCGGTATTTTAATATTATGTTCATAAAAATATAGAAACCTAAGTCGTATATTCTAAAATCATATGATTCTGTTTTTTAGATTATTTACGTTAACAGCTCTTCGCAGACGAGGGTTTCCTCCTGAAGCAATAAATAACTTCTGTGCACAAATGGGTGTAACAGTGGCTCAAGCAGTTGTTGATCCAGCTGCTCTAGAAGCATGTGTTAGAGATGTTTTAAATGTAACCGCGACTCGACACATGGCTGTTTTGGATCCTTTAAAAGTGACTATTAGTAATTTTACACATGGAAACCCTATTAAATTGACTGTTCCCGATTTTCCTAATGAACCAGGGAAGGGACAACATGATATTGTTTTTGATGAAGTAATCTATATTGAAGCATCTGATTTCCAAGAGGTACAGTTAAACTTTTACACAACAACATAATAGAGAAAACACTGGCTATTATAATTATTTTTAAAATGTTATAAATGTTAATGTAGAAAGCATCGAAAGACTTTCGACGATTAACTTTGAATCAGGCTGTTGGTTTGAAACATGCAGGAGTAGTGCTAACAGTTAAAGAGATAGAAAGGGATAGCAGTGGTAACATCGTAAATATTATTGCTACACAAGAACCTGCTTCTGAAAACAATAAGCCTAAGGCTTTTATACATTGGGTGTCAAATCCTATATTGGCATCTATTAGGTTGTATGAACGTCTGTAAGTAGGTGGATTTATTTTGTTTTATTTCATAATAGTTATATAGCTTATTGATAAATATTAATAAATATTATAGATGTGAATTTATAATTCTCTTACATATAGATATTCTCAGCTTTTACAACACTTTTCTTACTAATATACAATGTTATTATTAGATTTAAACACAAACATCCGGAAGATGTAAATGAAGTGCCAAACGGCTTTTTGAGCGATGTTAATTCTAGCAGTAAAAAAGAAATTGTTGGATACATCGATGCAAGTTTGGTAGATTTGGCGAAACCTCTAGATAAGTTCCAATTTGAACGCATTGGATTTTTCTCTGTAGATCCTGATACTACACCAGGAAAGGTAAAAATGTGCTGTGACATTTAGATATTTGTATTTTTATAAATGTGCTTTTTCTGTTTGCAGCTTGTTTTCAATAGAACCGTGACATTGAAAGAAGATTCAAAAAATATGTAAACCAAATTAATTTATGAATACGTGGATAATTTAATTTAATATTGCTTTATTTCGAAATTTTATTATAATTTACAATTTCAATAAAGTTTTGTCAAGAATATTTTTAAACAATAGCCTGATAACGAGTATGTATAATTAATTCATCATACAGTTCATCATGCAGGATTCATAAGTAGGGATCATATATTTGATATTTATAAAAGCATCTTCACCCCCATATATCTCGAGCATTTCAAGTGTTTCTTGTATCATGTCAGCAGGATTTTCTCCTCTTTGCTGTGCGTAATCAATCCCTTCTCCGAGGTTGACTAAAATATTAAATACAATTATTATTTTAGTGTAAATATATCACCACCGATTGGAAATTTCTTTTTCTTTTTACCATTTCTATCTTTTAACAAATTAAGAACTGGCAAGATTTGTCTAAAATATGGCACTAAAGCCTCTCCAACGCAATCTGCTGAACGTACAAGTTTTTGAAGAGCTCTCATTGTAATACAAATGATTTCTGGCATTTTTGTATTTAGAGCCTCTGCAATAAATGTATATATTTTATAATGTTAAGGTATGTAATTTAAAAGATTGTTCAAAAAAAAAGAAGAAATTACTTTTAATAGGAATTATTAATTGAGGTACAACTGGCAAAATCTTTGGACCTCCTTGTTCCAACATATCAGATATTCCCTGTTCTACTAAAAATTTATGCGGTTCTTCAGTTTCTGTTAATCCGTCGAAAAATAATGGCAAATAGTGATGGAAATCTAAATTTTCGATTTCAACTTTCCAGCAGAGTTTAGGTCCGAATGAATCAGTTTCTAATGTAATTGGAAATACACCGCGTTCGTAGAATTTACGAAAAGTGGATGGTTTAGGCGGCTGCGGATTATACAATCCGCACCGTGGAGGTTTTGCAACAACAGTGTTTTCCTGAAAATTTTACTAATGAATGTTTTAATGAAAGCCACATACGTGCATGCAATAATAAAATAGTCAAATCTTACTTGTAAAGCTTGAATCGTAAATGCGGGAACAACTCTCGGTTTCTTTTTTTTGTATCGAGGAATATCTTTCCGAATTTCATTCCAAAATTCTGTTTCATTTACCATTCCGATATTTTATTATGATATCCAATTATTACGAAATTTCTTCTTGTACTAACACCTTTACGTCCAAACTGAAGTATGTAACACTTTCACATCGAAATCATATCACTTTGCTAAATGAGGGTGAAGACTGAAGAGACTGAATGAGTTATATAAGGATACGACAAATATGGATTAAACATGTATCCTAGCAACTAATATGTTGCTTAATTAATCACAATGATACACTTGTATAGACTTATTTAAAAGTATATTTTTGCTTCAAAAATTTAAATAAACTTCAAGCAAGAGAAACTACTATATACGTATAAAAATTAATCGTTTGATTAGAATACATCTATCTTTTATATACATTAGATATTTCATTACAAAGTACATAACAATTAGTTTATATTTTAGATGTGCTTTTTGTAATTTTCTTGTGGTACTGTGGATTATCAAATATCAAATCCCTCTTATGTGGCTCGTCCTTGTCAGCTGTATTTTTATAATAAGGAAAATACCGGAATGAATATATTCGTAATTCCTACGATTAAGTGAAGTAATACTTTAAAAACAAATCAAATAAAATGACATATTCCAAATTTTCGATAATTCAGTAGACTATTTGAAAATTTGAATAAGTAAGTTTGAAAAGGATATTTATGAAGTAGTTTGAAGATTCCTGTTCCTACTGGAATTGGAATACCCATAATGATTGATTCAGACACACCGCAGATTACATCCTTTTGCCCATAATAAGCTGCATCAAATAGATGATCCGATGTTTTTTCGAACTGTTGAACAGATATTTATTAGTTTTTTCTGTTCGAACTTGAAATGCATAAAACTATCATCATATTCGTGAAGGATATCTTACCGAAGCTAAATTTAAGACAGACTCTTTCATCTTTGCTAAACCCTGTCTTGTAATACCCAATACTTCTCCTCTGCTAGTCATTAAATCTGCAACAAGCATTGGATGTCGCCGATCGATACTCATTCCATGGTTTTCCATCACTAATTTAATTTCTGTCATTATCGTTGCTCTTGCTGCCTCGATGCCCAAAGTTTTGAAAACCTAGGACACAATGTATCGTGTGTGTACTATCTATCTTAGTTATTTATATTATCCTAAAAATGTTTTATTTTATATTTACTTCCAACGTATTATTTGATGTTGTATTTCGCCCTAAAACACCAGGAGTTGCTAGGACTTCACGCATGTTGTATCCTTCAACGAATAGTTTGTATTTCGTTTTACCACTTGAATCGTCATTATGAATGACAGCTCTAGAAACCGACGGTAAACCCTACAATACATACAGTAGGGCAATAAGACGTGTGGATCTTTCAAATTTGAAAAAGTTCTTTTGTCGATTCATTCTTTTTATTTACCTTCACAACGATGTTCGGAATTGTCTCTTTAAGATGAGTGAGAGCAGAATTTAAACTGTATTTAACTCTGCTGGGACTCACTGTGATAATTGAGTCGCCTCTAACATCTACTGCTTTCGGATTCAGTCTTAACTTTGATGTACAGATCCTAAGTAAATAAAATAATGTGTTTGAAAAATGTTCGTTTACATAGCATTTCCAAGCATCGTGATTCAAATACTTACGAATAACGAATTGAATTTACGTCTATTTCCAATTTCAACAGTTTTATTCTATCGACGTCTAATTTTATTAATAAGAAACAATCGTCCGGTAGGTATACTTCCTCAATGTATTCTGTTACTTCTCCCAAGGTAGTTTTTTCAATTCTTCCTTTTACTCTCCTAGCATATTCTGGATCACTATCATTTTCCTAAAATACATGCATAGAAAAAGAAAAAATACAGATCAATATCTAATACATGGGCACAAAAATGTATACTAAGTATGAAACTTACTAAGGCTGCTGTGATAATGGGTGTGCTAATCCTGGGGTTTGCGTTAATGATTTCTTTGATACGCGGTACACCTTGAGTAATGTTCATAGATGCTACACCAGCAAAGTGGAAAGTTTTCAAGGTCATTTGTGTGCCCGGTTCTCCAATACTTTGTGCAGCGAGTGCACCAACGGCAGTGCCCGGTTCAATCTTCGCTCTCATATATTTCTCTTTACAAGTGTGAATAAATTCTACCAATTGAGAAACTGTAAGTCGCTCGAGTTGCAAAATTACAGGTACATTGAGTGGAGCATTGTGTCGAAGACGGGCTATTTTACGCGCTACACTTTTAAGAAATGTGCTATAAAAATAGCATAATGTGTAACAAGATAATTTCGGGGTAATTACATTAAAATGATAAATTTGATAGTAACGTTATACTTACGATAATTCTTGTTTGAATTCCTCACTGAGGCATTCATACTCATCGGAATTCAATAGTTCATTTGTAGCTTTTATTATACTAGGACCATCTAAAGGATTTTCATTCTTACACGGTGATTTAGCCCTGACATGATCCAATATTCTTTTGTAATCCACTGGACAATCTTTTCCTGTTATTACGTAAACAGTATTAACTTAGATATACTTAAGTTTAGTTACGAAATATTTTGAAATATAATTTCTCTTGATTTAGAATCTAGGTGAACGTTTATTAAAATAATATTCAAATATATATAAAAATAGTTTCATACCTTCCATGTAGGTGGGATCTAACGCATCTCCGCCATACAATATTTGTACAATGTCTCCGACCGAGTTACGAACTGTCATATCATAATGAAGGCACAAATCTTCTAAACTTTTAACTAATCTTCGCTGCATGTAGCCAGTTTCTGCAGTTTTAACTGCTGTATCTACGAGACCTTCTCTTCCACCCATTGTGTGAAAGAAAAATTCCGTTGGCGTTAAGCCAGAGTAGAATGAGTTTTCAACAAAACCTTTGGCTGCAGGAATTTTCGAATGTCGCTCGAAATGTGGTAAAGCTCTCTCTTCAAATCCGTTTGGAACTCTCTTACCACTAATAGCTTGTTGTCCTACACAAGCTAATTAACGAAAAAATAAGTTAAGGCATATGAACTTACATTAAAATGCAAATAAAATAGATGCTTTTTGTAAACACAATTATAGTACATACCAATCATCTGTGAAATATTAATGAAACTGCCCTTACTACCAGATAAGGCCATAACTAATGGACTGTTACTTGGATGAAGCTCTTTCAAACATGCTTTACCAGCATGATCACGAATTACTGAAAGTTCCTTGAGTATCATTGCCTCTAAAGTTTCTTCTTCCGTACATCCAGGTTGACATACAAGACGACCTTCTTCCATTTGATGGATGTACTCTGTACATTTATAGTATCTAAATCCAAGCATAACTTAATAATGATATCAGCATATAATATTATATTAATATATATATATATTTTTTTATTCATTCTCACCCTGCATTCAGAAGCTCATGCTTAGCTTTAAGCAGCCCCTGTCCAGGCGTAACATCACCAATGCCAATAGAAAAGCCACGATTCATAAGAAAGAAACTAGCCATTCGTGCTAATCGCCACATAGCAGTTGTTGCAATATCTTCACCCCAATCACGCAGAAGAATGTAAAATATATTTTGTTTTGATCCTGAACCCAATGTTGACTTATCCATAGATCCAGCAATTAATTCTGAATTTCGAATAATTACATCTGCAATTTGTGGATTATTTTTTACTGTGTGAATGTATACGCATTTAGCAAGTCATACGTACATGAATCGTTCAAACATAATTCTTTGTTCTTAGTGTAAGCTCTTCCTTTGGTTCTTAAATTGGCTTTGATGTTGCAAGAGTTATTAGGTTTTAAAATCAAACTAAAAATTTGTTTTCCTGTCCACAACATGGTTGGCTTTAAAATAGCAGGTTCAGGTAAATTAATAGACATAGAAAGATCATTTCCTGCTAGAAGACAACCAGCCAGTTGACTTGCTTGAGATTTATTTAAAAACATATCCTTTTGAGTTAAAAGATATCCTCCAGTGATAAAGTCTTGTGTTGCTGCTATTAATAATTCTCCATTGCGAGGTGTAACTAAATTTGATTTATTCTGATAGGAAATAAATAAAAATGTATATAGCTATATCTCCTACATACATACATAACATAAATTCTAATGTAAAAAAAAAATTATACGCTACCCCCATTAAAACCAAAGCTTCTGCTCTTGCTTCTTCAGTTTGTGGTAAATGCAGATTCATTTCATCACCATCAAAATCGGCATTATACGGAGTGCATACACATTCATTAAATCTAAATGTCCGATGTTCTAATACTTTTGCTTTGTGAGCCATGATACTTAATTTATGTAAAGATGGTTGTCGATTAAATAATACTACATCGTCATCTCTAAGGTGTCTTTCAACGATATCACCATACTATAACGATGATGAATATCAATTAATGATAATTTGGAATATATTGTAAGATTTTAAATTGTATAAGATTGGATAGACACTTATAAGACAATGTTACCTGTAAATCTTGGGCAATTTTGTGACGATTACCATATTTTAAGTATTTCTTAAACTGAGTTTTTCCTTGTTGTATAAAATTTGCACCTGGATGTACATCTGGACCATTTTTTACTAATTTTCGCATTAATTCTATATTTGATGGATTCACTTTTTCTGGATATGTTAAAATCTTTGCAACATAGATAGGCACACCTACCTAATGGAGAACGAGATCTTGTCTTCAAGGATGAAAAATAATATAGAAATTTATAAGTTGAAACTTACTTGTTCAATTCTGAGATTAGGATCTGGTGAAATGACAGTACGACTAGAGAAATCAACACGTTTACCAGATAAATTACCACGAAATCTACCCTGTTTTCCCTTCAAACGTTGAACCAATCCCCTACCAGATTTTTTCGGCTAAAACATTTTAATACGGTGCATGTAATTATGTTAGCCAATAAATAAGCCATTTAATTTTCATTTGCTAAAAACTCACTTGCATGTTAAGTGGTATACCAGACATTTCACTATTTATATAAAGAGCACAATGTAGCTGGAGAAATTCCCAGTCTTCACTGTACATTTGCACCTTGGCTCCACTCTGTCTATGTTTTTGAATAACGTCATTGATAAAGACTATTTCTGATAATTTCATTGTTAGGTGATCTTCGGTTGTACCTGCTTTCAAATCTGATACAACACTGGGTCTAATACAAATTGGGGGCACTGGAATTCTTGTTAATATTAAATCTTTTGGTAATGCACAGTCTGGATTCATCAATAGCAAAGGAATGTCACTTTCTGGTATCTTTTCCAAAATATTTTGAACCTTAAATCAAAATATGGTTACAAGTATTGAGTTAAAGCTACAAGTTTCTTAATCTTGTGCAATACTGTGTCTTTTAAATTTTGCGATATTAGGTTTAAGCTTAATCTATAATTTACTAACATAATTTTCACAAAAACACGTTAAATGAATGTATTTTAAAAATGAGAACACATTTACCTCCAATGGATTTAGGACATTAATTAACCCACTTTGAAGTACTGCTTCAAAGGCTTTATTATCCTTAAGCACATTATCATACTCTGCTAACTTTTCTTGTAGAACAGTATCTCCTTTCTTTTTTGCTTTATACTTCTCATGAACTATTTTAAGTAAACCAGCTTTTTTCACTGTCCCATTAAGGTCTCCACAATTTTGACAAACAGTAGTCTTCTTTGCCTTATCTAATATTTGCTTACGTAAAGCTTTACGAGATAAATATCCTAAATTAGGATTTAAAGCTCTAGCTAGGAAACGTTTTTTATCAGCTTCGGATAGCATAACGTGAGAACAATTCTATAAATTCAAATATTATCATTAATGTTAGAATTAACATTAATTAATATAAATAGATATGGAATTACTTTAGATACTAGATGGAATTACTAGATACATTACTTTACAAATTGATTGAAGAATCCCAATGATTGCTCTGAAGTAACCAACATGGAAAACTGGCAATTCTAAATCAATGTAACCAAAATGTCCAATACATTCATTTAATGTTTTGCCGCATGATACGCAATTTGTTGTATTGTTACAAGTACCCTGAAAAAACATAAAGGAATATAATTTCAGTATAATAGTTAAAGAAAAAAATCCAAGAAATGCAATGTTAATAATACCATTCTTCTATCAAGTACACCATATGGAACTGGAGTATGTTCAACATCCTGATTATATAAATTCTTTGCCACAACATGCATATGGGCCTGCCTTTCCATGTTGTGGCGACTATCGACTCCAAAGGATACATGGGAACTAATAAGAATAAAAGTCATAGTTTAAAATGATACACAAAATATTGACAGTTATAAATATTAATGAAGCGGATTAAATTTCAGTTTTATGATCCCATATAGAATTAAACATTCCACAAAATCATCCAACATGAAAATCAAGAATAAAAATCTTATCCTGTTTGTTTTTTTCATCTCATGCACTATATA